CATTATTGACATCTGTTAGCAACTGCTTTGAACACCTCAGTTCACAGGTCTTGGGCCAGAACTGGAGATAAGGCAAGAGAAACACCGTCCCTCTGGGGACTGGAGTTACTGTAAGTTCGGGCGAGAGTCCTCTGTTCAAACTACTTAGTTGAGACCACTCCCCGGGTCCCACATTACTAAGCCAGGGAGGGTGGATCCCTCACCTGCTCCTGGGATCTGGGCTTGCAGCTGGTCTGACATGGAAGAGAATGGCTTGCAAACCCAAAGCAGGCCCTGTGGGGTGGTGCAGCCTCAGTGAGAACAGGAATTGTCATCTAGGCTTTGTGTGTAAGCTGGAGCCTGGTTAATGCTGAGTGACTGTCCTTCCTTTCTTCAAGGGTGTCAGAACTGAGTGATAGTGACCTTGGCCTTCAGGGGTAACATGAAGATCCTGGATACCCCTGTGGTGTGCAAGAACCATGAATCTCTGACATGGAAGTTTCCAGCATAAGACCATTGTATTGATGAAATCCTAGTGGCTAGAGAAGGGCTTCTGTATCCAATTGATCTCTCTGGGTCAAGTAGGGCTTCCTCTGGCTCTTAAGAGGCTGAAGCTGGGAGGAGGCTGGACATATGGCAGCAGAGAAGAGAAGGAACTTTCCATCCATCCATCCATTCACCCATCCATTCATCTAAGTACCCATCATCCATTCATTCATCTATCCAACCATCCATCTACTCAAGCCATCCATCCATTATTCCATCTGCCCGTCCATCCATCCATCTGTCCACCATGTATCCATTTATACATCCATCTATCCACCCAAGTATCCATCCATCCATCCATCTACCCATCCATCCACAAACACTTCTGAAACATTTTCTGTGTCCTATGTACGAGACTCATCAGACACAAGGCAGACAAAAACCCCTATCCTGTGGAGCTAACAATATTATTAGGGGAAATACATGATAACTAAATAGAATTCACATTATGTTTGTTGGTAGTAAGTGGGAAGAAGGAGAAATAAGGCAGGGAGGGCAGGGAGATTATGGGAAGAGAGATGTCCTTCTACCCCTGAACTTCTTGGCTGGAACAGAACTGGTACAGGGCTGATGAAAAAGAGAAAAACATCCAGGACTGATGAAAAAGAGAAAAATACCCAAGTTTGATGAACTTAATATGTGTTCAGGGTCTTCATAGGCAGGTGAGGGCTGAAGGCATGACTGGAGCATGATGCTTTTATATTAGGCAAAGAATAAGAAACAGCAAGGAATGATGGGACAGATGGAGGTCTGGAATAGGGCAGTAAATTGCAGTATTGTCACTAGGCGGTCTCTCAGGGCACACAAGAGCCAGTGGAAGAGAATGTATTTATTCAGATTCACTGCAGCCACAATCGCCAATCTCTGGTGGTACAGGCTATTTCCCTGCCTTGAATATACAGACATTCATCCCAATTACGTGCTGCTTTGTTTGTTTGTTTATGCCAGTCCTGGGGATTGAACTCGGAGTGTGGGTGCTGTCCCTAAGCCTCCAGGTGCTGAAGGCTAGTGCACTACCACTTTGAGCCACAATGCCAGTCCTGGCCTTTTCTGAGTGTTGTTGTTGTGATCAGAGATAAGAGTCTCACAGACTTTTCTGCCCAGGCTGGCTTCAAACCACGATCCTCAGATCTCAGCCTCCTGAATAGCTAGGATTATAGGCACGAGCCTCTGGTATCCAGCTTTAATTTATTTCTATTTTTTATTTATTTTTTCATACTGGAGACTGAAATCAGGGCCTCACATTTGCTAGGTGAGTGTCTACCACACAGCATGCAGACCATCTAATCTTTATGTCTTACTACGTGTAGAGAAGGACAGCCACTTTCTGAAGCTACAGCTCTGTCTCATGCCAGCCACAATCTGACATGTTCTGAGATGTGAGTCCTTAACGGTGTATAGGAAATGTGTGGATGTTGACATTTTTGAATTGGTCTTTGTTTAGAAGGCGCCTGGGGAAAAGCCTGCGGAAAGTGAGGAGTACTGGGTGCTCCCAGAAGGAAGGATGCTGCTGTCTGGGAACAGCTGGCGGCAGGGCATGCGGTGGACATGCTACAGACTGGGAAGAGGCCATGCTGGCAGGAGCCCCAGAGAGTGGTAGGAAGGTCAAGATGAGCTTCTCTGAGGAGCTGGACACTCAGGACCTGAAAGGGCACAGGAAGGAGTCCTCTGTGGGCCAGTGGAGGGCTTTGTGCAGAGAGATGAGATTTGCCTAAAGTTGAATCAGGATTCAGACCATTGTGGCTACTCTGTTGCCGACAGACTAGAGGGGACAGTTAGGAGGAGGCCTCCGTGGCAATCCAGGTGAAGGGCAGCTATACCAACATGCTAGGCCCACCAGGCTCCCCACCCAGGGCATGCCTGATGGCGCAGAGGAATTGAATTAGTGACATGCTAGCTTCAGTTCTCAGACTGGAGCCAGTCTCAAACTGGCAAGGAACAGAGAAAGAGAACCAGGTACAGCTCCAGCTTCCTGATCCAACATGTTTGGAGACATCTTTACTTTTAGTATGGCTTCTAAAGTATTACTGGGCAGTCAGGGTTGGTCTTTTTCTTTAGTAACAGGAATGCTTTTGGTTGCAAGTAATACAAACTGACTAACAACGGCTTAACCAAACAGGGATTTATTTTTATTTACAAGAATAGTTCTGGAGAAGCACAGCAGCTAGCATTGGCTTGATCAAACAACAGGGTTTACATCTCTGCGATTCTCCTGGCCTTTTCCTCATGTAGCAAAATGGCTGCTATGGTTGTAGCCATCATATCCTCAATCAAGGCAAGAAGAGAGGGACAAGGAGACAGTATTGACTATGCCTCATTTGATCAGAAAAGCTTTTCTAGAAGCCCCTGTTAAACCTCTGCTTCAATCTCATTGGCCAAGATCAGGTCACCTGGTCTCTTCAAGATGCAAAGAAGGCTAGAATGTGAGCGTCTAGATTTGTAGCCGCTGGTATGGAGGTGACTAGAGAAGTGGAGTTGGGGGATGGTCACTGGGGGGTACACCCTAGTGTCTGTCACAGCTCCCTGGATGACATGGGGCTTGAGGTTCCTTCTACCTCGGGGGTGTCATCACTACTTGTCACCTCTGTGGCGGGACAGGGCAGAACTTCAAGCACTCCCTTGAGTTTTCTCCTCTACCCCATCTGGTTGCTCTGTCTCATTTCTCTTCACCAGTCTGAGCAGCATGTAGACCTCTGAGATCCACTCCTTTGGGGAGCTAGTGGTCTGTTGAGGAGTCATGCATCTTTAGTGTGACCCTTACCTGGCAGATGTAAAACAGTGGCACCACATTCTCACCCCGACAGTCACATTAGGAGCCCCATAGTGTGCAAGTTCTGTCTGTCTGTCTGTCTGTCTCTCTCATTCATGCATGCATGCACACACACACACACACGCACACATGCACACACACACACACACGCACACATGCACACACGCAGCCTATCTGTATTGACACTAACATGCTGGGCATTGTCCGGAGGGCATTGTCAGCCACGCTGAAGCCCACCAGGAAGAGTAGGCACAGGACCAGGTCCGTCTTTATCCTCCTGTTGGTCCCTCCTGTGCTTCCAGGAACCAGAGCTTCGCAGCTTCCTGTGGTTGGAGGAAGTAAAAGGAGGGGCTCCCCCCGGCCCCTACCTGCTCTGCTTTCCACCCTCAATGAAAGTCTTACAAAGCCTGAAGTGGGCTTTTTGGGAGAAAAGATTCAGGCCTGAAAAAGATTTGTGTGTGTTGCCCAGCAAGAAATCCTTTGAGGAAGAAGAATAGGCGGAGCTGGTCCATGGTAGATGGGGCTGCGTGGGCAGCGGGGCTCAGGTGCTGGAAGTTTGGACTTGTAAGAGGCCCGTTTACATAACATGCAGTGGCGTCTTCAAACTATCGTTTTCATTTGCAGAAGCGAATTCCAATGCCACTGTATGTCTGCTTTCCAAAAGGCTGTAGAGAAGGTAAACATTTTGGTTTTTCTTTTTGGCTAGCATTGCATCATGGTGTGATCACACCAGTACAAATGCAGATTGGCAATTATATACAACTCTGGTGCATACAACCATCACAAGAGCAACAGAATCAGATGTCCCTGGGGTGGGCTGGATAATGATGAATGAGGGGCTGCAGATTAGGAACCTTGAGGACAGAGGTGCCTGGGAAGAGAGGTGGATGATGGTTTGTGTATTGGGGGTTGGGGGTTACTGGGGCTTGAACTCAGGGCCTGAGTATTGACCCTTAGCTTCTTTGCTCAAGGCTAGCACTAGACTAGCTCAAGGCTGACATTTGAGCCATAGTTCCACTCCTGGCTTTTTTTTTTTTTTTCCTGCTGAATTGGAGATAAGAGTTTCATGGACTTTTCTGTCCGGGCTGGCTTTGAACTGCAATCCTTAGATCTCAGCTTCCTAAGTAGTTAGGATTATGGATGATGTCTTGATGTGCCCTGCTGCTTGGGTCTTACCTGGAGCTTGCTAGATGGGACTCCCCCATCATTTATGTGCTCAATGAAGTTGGTCAAGTGTTGTCCTAAACGTGTGGGGGGGGGCGGGGGAGGGTGGAAACACGCAGCTCTGGCTAGGTGTGTGTGTGTGCCCGGTCTAGCTGGAGATGAGTAGAAGTATGGGCCTGGGAGTTTGGCTGCTGGGAGACACAGGACCCGTGGGCCTTGAAAGGTTCCTGATAGGAAGGCCAAAGAGGCTCCTCTTCTTCAGGCCCTGAGTCAGGGACGTTCCATGGAGCACGCTCTCCTGGCAATGGCCTCCACTTGGGATGGCAGGGAGGGATCTGCACTCAGAAGTCCAAATCCAAGCGGGAGCTCAGGGCTCCACAGCAATCCCTGTTTGGGGCCTGTCTGCTTGGAGCTTAGGGGTGTTCCCCAGCTTTCTGTAGGGGAGGGCCACGCATTTCTAAGGGGGCAGAATCACACTGCTGATG